ACAAGTGCCACATTAACTAATTTTGGGCGGTTTTAAACTGCGGTCCTACTATCAGAAAACTATATCCCGATTGGGATGTACAGCTCGATCGGGATATGGTTCATCACTGTATTTGGACTGGCACGTATTTCTAGTGTGAAGCAAAATCAAACAAATCTTTATCGACAGCGAACACAGTTTCGTCTATTTTTTAGTATTTTTTGTCGCAGAAGAAACAAAATTGTCTGCAGAAGCCTCTTCTTTGCGTTATGAATGGAAGTATATTGCATGGTTCTTTCTCCCTTTTTATAATAACTATAACAACTTTAAAAACACAGATTGACTTTGCCAATTTAGTTCGGTGAAATTATAAGTTAACTCTGTTTACACTCATGACCAATTATATCTTATCATCAGAATAACTGTCTTCCCATGACTAAAAAAACGCGTTTTCCTACAATGGTCGAAATGAGATCGAAGGAGCCAGTGTACGGGTGATATTGTACGATGACGATGCCATTTGATGGGTGGAACGAATCGGATGACCATTGGATGAGGTAATCCGACGATGAGTGCCACTGTTGCTAGCCATATCGAGTGACAGAGTAAAAGTCATATCAGTAGTGATTGTTAGCGAGTAGAATGGCTCGAATGAGATGTTGGACTCAAGACAGACACACTGTACATGTAAATATAAACTTAATTAAAAGGAACAGAAATATGAGAACCAGCTCCGTACCGAACACGTGTATAATCACGATCTGGCAAGGATGAAATCGATGACGTTTTGATTGAACTGAAGGTAGTATTTTGAATGGGCATTGATAGTGTGGTTCTCGAAGCAGTCAGATTACAAAACATAGACAAACAATGAGGCTTGTATCAAAAGAGAGTGCATCCCGGTCGCTCATTTTATCACCGAATTAGATATTTTGCTTCACAATTTACACAACATTTCTATCGTCCGTCATCCTTGTACTCGCACTACCATGCAACATCTACATCCTGTTATCCCATATGATACTTTATCTCCAATTATCGAATCAAATCCATCTAAAATTGTTCTATTATCGAGTAAAAACTATGGTCGTATAATAAAACGATTAGCACATCGGTTTCGAGCGGCGAATACCGTCCTTCGGAAGACAGACAAATTCAAAGTATTTCATTGGGGGCGACTCGATGATTACCAACGAAAATCCGAAGAATATATGGAAAAGGTCAAGACGTGCAAATGTTTTGGTAATAAAAATCCCCTTCCAAAACTAATTGAACGTACGAATAAGTATTTACTTGATCTTCAATTATCGAAATGCATCACTCAAAAGCAACACGAACAACTTTGTGTCAAGCCATCTGAAGCCGAATTGGCGCATAAGCCTGGTACTCCTCTTCGTCCGATCATGTCTGGTCTTCGACACCCTACAGTGAAGATATCAAAATTTCTCGATGATCTACTATATCCATTGTTCGATCGAATGGCAGCCGAAACTTCCGTTTTCAACGGCTTCGAGCTGATGAAACAATTACAGCAATGGTCAAAAATATATTTATGATGAGAGACTCTATTTTGTACGGTGGATGTCTCTGACCTCTACACAATGGTACCACAAGTCGAAGGAGTATTAGTTCTCAAGAAGATGCTCGATCATCATGCCTTGAAAGAAGTCGGTGGATTACGAGTAGGGACCATACATCGGCTGGCTCGATTCGTCATGAAAAACAATTATTTTTCATATGATAGACAATATTATCATCAAATTAGAGGTGGAGCAACGGATTCTCCATTGACATTGACCATTGCCAATTGCTACGTGTTCTTCTATGATCGCGACATTGTCAAGGATGGTCAAAATGAAAGCGAATTCTACCGTCGATACATTGACAATACTTTTTTGTTTGAATTCGACCAAAGAACAACTATTGGAACAAGTGGCCAACTAGAATCAGATGGATTCAAATATAAAATTAACGGCTCAGATAGGCTCAACTGCCGATTTTCTCGATCTTCACATTGGGAACCAAGATGGCCAACTTCAAACTAGTGTCTTCCGTAAACCATCGTACGACCAATATTATCTGCCATTCGATAGAGTCCACTCAATGCATATCAAACGATTCGGTACTCTTCTACTTTCCAAGCATGCATAAACGAACGTGACGCAATCCGAATGGCTGTTCTATTGAATAAATACCCCTGTATTCATCGATACACAATTCGAACGAGTACTTTCGGACTTTAAGATCAAATAGCTCAATGTTCAAAATTTTCGTACCATGCGGGATAAAGTTATCAAGCAAGAGAAAAAACAGAAAGCAACTGTCGAATTCGATAAGTCAATGCTTTTGTTCGTTTTACCTATTGTTCGAGTATGAAGAATTTTCCATTCCAGTTCCACCGTCCATGAGAAAAATATTTTCCACAATCGTCCATCACCGATATCAAACCAGTGATAGGTACTAGAAATGTCGGGAACTTGCAACAGCAATTCATGCATACCAGATGGTCGAAAGAAAGAGAAACTCATTCGACAAATCGAATAATCGAATCATCTGGAACTGGACCATAAAATGTGATTTGAGATTCTTTCATACCATTTTTTCTTCTTCCACTTCTACTCTCTATACTCATTTTTTGCTCTCTTATCTTTTTTTCTCTCTTCCTTTCTTTTTTTGTACTCTTGTATTGTGTGCTTCTTTTTGGTGCAGAGCCCTGATGGATGTTATCTTAATAAAAAATACGATACGCGTCGGCAATTGAACTCTGCATATTATTTATCATTAACAATCACACCATTCAAACAAAAAAACAAAAAAATCTATTGCTTTGACATCGATTACTGAGAAGCAAGAGTCGGAATCCAAGGATAAAACTTGCTCTGTAAGTTTATCCGTCTATATAACTCATTTTTGAGAGGCTAGCGGGACTTATTTTTTGGGGATTTATTTCTTCGGCAGGAGTTATTAACTGTATCGGTATTTCGGCGCATCCACACTGTGGGTATGTGGGTATACATGTATGCACTGAGTTGTGTCACTATTCCAGCCCACCCATACTGCAGGTATGTATGCATGTACTGAGAAACTGTGTGATTTTAAGATGCATAAGAATTTATTAAAAACTGTCAATAAATCCGAAAAAAATTAGTTCCTGTAGCTGCTGTCATGTTCCCCCAATTTTATAGCAACAACAACAATAATGCTACATCTAATAGTATTTCATGAAAATATACGTGTTCTTCTTTCTAAGCATTTTTTGAACCTATTTAGCGCATTTTACTCACTGTCATTGTTGTTTTAATAGTATGCTGTCAGTAAATGATGATGCATAGATAAAAAAAAATATAAAAGGTGAGAAACGCATAAATTTGTCATTGCTCTACATCTAACAATAAAAAACGAAGCTATCAAAATGATATTGCATTACTTATTGTACTTATCTGTGTAAGTATTAAAGATGAAACTATAGTAATTAGATAGAGCCACTATGAAATTTGAACATCCCATCTGTCTTATCATGATTGTAAATATCAATAAAAACTTTTCCAAAAAAAAATAACCTATAAAAAACTGACTAATCTACTATAAGTACGCAATTAAAATTCTACTTTACTTTTTTTTTAGGGTAATCGCAACAAATAATGGTAAGTGCATGAGAAATTTTTTTAAAATAAAGATAAACTTCTCTTGAATTTCTCGCTTTTCAGGTCAAGCTGTGTATAAACAATCGAGCGACTGTAAGTGTACTAAATTTGCTACAAGTCTGTATTGCTAAATAGTTTATAGTTTTTAATATTTCTATATGTAGTCACAGTCCAACTTTTGTTAGAGTTGAATCGCATGGAAGAAGTTTTAAAAAAGATTAAGAAGAATCATTTATTATAAATGAAAATTTAAAAAATTTATTAAATTATCCATCATATCAATTCATACTTGAGATCGGTTTATACATTAAGATCTATCTCATATCTCGGAAGGAAGGAGAAATAAACTTAAATATATTTTGGTTGAAATTTTAGGCCCAGGCAATCTTAAATGGAGTACAAATGGAATAACAATCATGGGCAATGGTTATGGTTCAGATCCAGATCAATTACAATTTCCTGAAGGTTTATTTATCGAGGCTAAAACACAAATTTTATATGTTGCTGATGTTTCTAATAATCGTGTTCAAAAACGTTATCCAAATGGTAAAATACAAACTGCTGCTGGCCAAGCTAATGGTGCCAGTGGATCAACGTCAGACAAACTGGACGGTCCGAGAGATATTTTTGCAGATGAAAATGAAAATGTTTTTGTTGTTGATACGGGAAACCAACGAATTCAATCTTGGAGAAAAAATGCTAAAACTGGAAAAACAGTTGCTGGAAATGGCAGCGCTGGTGCAGCATTAAATGAATTTAATCGTCCATATGCAGTTGTACTCGATACAAAGAAAAATATTATAGTTGCTGATTTGCAAAATCAACGCGTAACAAGATGGCCATCGGCATATGATCCAAGAACATCTTTTGGTACAATCATAGCAGTAAGTTACTAATTTTATTTTCATTGTGCGACATCTTATCCTATATAGTTTTGCACCAAAATAAAACAATATTCAATTAAAAAGAAGTAATAACACAACATGATAAAACATATAAAAGTTATTTCGTAAAGTTAGAAACACATTTGATGTTCACGTAGATCACATGATATACGAGGAACAATATGACAATCATTTACATATTTTTATACTTTAAATGGTAAATTCTTCGTTATTGTTCTAGGGGGGTAATGGTGCAGGTCTCAATCTATATCAATTAAATAGTCCAACTGGTTTATATCTAGACGAACCAAATAATATCTTATATATATCAAACGAAGAATCTCATTCAGTAACACAATGGAATATGGATACTTATGGAAATAAAAATATATATGCTGGTATCCCTGGGAGACTTGGTAATAGTGCAGCTCAATTACAAAGTCCTGAAGGTCTAACTCTTGATAAATATGGTAATTTATACATTGCTGATTGTCAAAATCATCGAATCCAAATGTTTTGTCCATATTCTGTATATGGTATAACAATTGCAGGTACGGGCCGAATAGGTAATGACAGTAATGAATTATATTATCCACGGGATGTGGCATTTGATTCAGAAATGAATTTGTATGTTACAGATACATATAACTATCGTATACAAAAATTCGAAAGGATACAATAAAATCCAATTATTGATTTATATATATTTTTGCAAAGAATCTTTATTACTTTTATATAATGTAATCGTTTTGAGAATAAAGAGTGCATCGAAATGAAATATGATTTAATTTTCTTAATATCTATCATACCATTCATCCCCAGTTCTTCGAAAAGTTAACGAATTTTTAAATAAAACATAGACGTTTATTGAATTTTAAGAGTAACACATTTAAATTTCTCTCTTACTTTGCAGATTAATACAGATTAATAATCACGCATTTTTTAACAGATAGTAATAATAATGGAGGTATGTTAAACTACTTCATCCAGCGAAGTAATAGTAAGATTTGTAACACTGGGTGGCACACGGTTTTCACCAGTTCTTATCATAAAAATAAATTTATAATTTGTCAAATTAAATAAAAATTAATAAAACATTTTCGATATGGTCTCTGCTTGTAGAGAATTCGGTTCTCTTTCACACGAGCCTACCTTAAAATATATTGGACGTGAGCTGATGGAGTTATAAGGAAACGAAGAAAGTCGGCCAAAAAAGTGCTTCTGTAGATGAGATTTGAGAGTATTTGTATCCAACCTTCTTCTTCCGGCTACAGTTCCATCAGCTAACGTCCAAAATATTTCAAGGTAGGCTCGCGTGAAAGAGAACTGAATTCTCTACAAGCAGAGACCATTTCGAAAAATGTTTATTAAATTCTGAAGTCCATAGGTATTCTGGAAAACCCGGCACTTCAGAGACCTATATCCCGAAAACCAGGAATAATAGATTGGGTTTTCAATAGATTTGTATACTTTCGACGATGGACCATCCAAACATAGCAAGCCCTGCGTTCCCAAATATGTTGTTTTAATACAAGATGCTACGCAAAACGGACGAAAATCGAAAAAATTGTGTTTTTGCTTGCAAAGGTGGCTTTCAGCCGACTTGTATAAGGGACCTGTAACAGTGAAAAATTCACTTTATTAAAGATCAGATGATGAGAAGTCGAATGCACTAGTTGTCTTTATGGTACAATTTGCAGTTTAAAATTATCCTGTTTCAGCATTTTTCACTGTCGTTTAGTATTTACTGAAAAACTTTCGCTTAAAAAAACACGAAAAAAAGCGCAAAAGTGCTATCTTTCGACCTCACCCCGGACCCTGCGCCGATGTTCAAAAATTTTTTATAATCTTGTTCAGATTTGAATTCTCTATCGAATGAGGTAGGTCTCCGTCCATGCATCATACCTTCATGTAATCGTGGTATTTTATCGGTGGAAATATCCGTCGATAGCTACTAATCTGGCTCAGAAGTCCTTTTATAATTGTTTAAAAAACACAGTCGATTGATCGATTAATCATCAGTTGGTTATCGACTAATCGGTGACTCATTTCTACTGGATAAATTTTGCAAAGAATATGCTGTATATACTCACTTTCTATAACGTGAGTTAATATAGGAAATAAGTTTAAGAAGTTTATATTATAACCTAGCTTATTCACTCATCTTAGAGCTTTAAATGACTCTGAGAAACAAAATTACTAAGGGCAGCCGTAAGGCGCCTAGTAGAAGAGTTCCGGGCCTGAGACTCAACTCTCGGGCGCGGAGTACTTATTCGATCTAAATCCTGACTGAGATAGATTGTAGCTGTTCGCTAATTTGTAATTCGTACACGATGAAACGCAAGCGAACAGGAGATGCGACTGAATCTGATCTATTTCTTAGTCCTGATCAAACTCAATCTGAATTTCAACTTCGAGCAGCTGATAAAAATATTGATCGCGGGCAATCGAGTGTCAAACTTAACGCGACTTTATAGGATGAAATCGCGATGAATGATCAATGATTGGGTAGTCCCTTATTAGTTGGATGGCCACTTAATCGCGATTTTAGCGAAGGGCAGCGGTAAGGCGCCTAGTGGAAGAACTCCGCGCCTGAGACTCGACTCTCGGGCGCGGAGTACTTGGTCGATCTAAATCGGCATAAAACACATCCCTAATGGTAGTTACCTTGGCAGGCCTTTGCAGAGGCCTGGTACTTCTTGCGGTACTGGGAGGCGCCTCCCGGGTCCGTTTTAGTTCTTACTGTGAAGGAACAGTTGAAACTCACACTCGTATCATAATAGTAATTTGGACGTTTAACTGCTCCGGTTTCAGAGAGCGATTTCGTCTTGGCTTTTGTTCATTTTCTCTTGTTCTGTGTGATTTTGATTGTGATTATATTTATATACATGAAAACATCAGTGTACACAAAGAAAATGGCTACCCTTAGTCATAGGTGCAATTCTCAAGTCAAAGATCGCAGCCATGGGTCACTTTTATCTTCTAAATATCTGAAAACCTTACCAAGACCCGATGAAGACCCTCCAGAAATCCTCTGAAGATCTCAGCAGTGTCTCTATCGAGTGTGGCATCTGTAGAGGCCTGGTACTTCTTGCGGTACTGGGAGGCGTCTCCTTGGTCCGCAGCAAACTTGTTTCATGCAGGTCTCCCTGTTATAGGGCTAGCCAGCCGTTAGCAGGTCTCTTTTATAACGGGTGGTGCAAAAGTTCTGCATTAATTTTGGTTTTGATATAGCGTTGCAATGGAACATCGTAGAGACTTCATCCTTGTTTTGTTAGGAAGAGCAAAGTGTCTAGCACAAAAATATACAAAAGTGTTTTTGGTGTGTCGGAAATGTTTTCCGAAGATCAGAAAAATGTTCGAACAAAAGGCATCGGGAAACTGTTCCGCAACCTTTTCGAATTTAGTAAAAAATGTTGTCCAATACGAAAGTTTATCTTTTTTCATTCGTTTTACCCCGAGCTTTATAATGTTAGAATAGGGTGCTGTTGCGGAGAAAAAAAATTTTCTGTTTTAGAACGGTCGAAATGAGCGCTTTATAACGTCCTATTTTACCACCAACTTTTCATCACTGTCGATCGCAGTCGAAAAAAAATTCTGCTCCTAGAAGGAAGTTGCTAGAAACTATATACTTTATATGGAAAAGACAGCTTATTGAGTCCTCTACCAAGCGATATTATTTGGAATAGAACACTACTGCTGTGTGAGACATTGGGACAAAAAGTTGCTTTCGCGTTCTAAACACCAAATTGAGTTTTTAATCAAAGGGTCTTCTGTTCAGTCTCTTGTTCTCAAGGTCAATTTTTATAATATCATATGACAGCCTTCGTTGTAATGAACAACTTCATATATGTGATGCTCGAAAACATCAAAAGTGGATAATGAAAAATGTCAAACAAATATATTTGGATACAAGAATTGTGACCGAAGTTGCGGAAAAGTTTCCCGATGCCTTTTGTTCGAATATTTTTCTGACCTTCGAAAAACATTTTTATATACTTTTGTAGTAGACACTTTGCTCTTTCTGACAAAAAAAGGATAAAGTCTCTACGATGTTCCATTGTACGCTATGTCAAAACCAAAATTAATGCAAAACTTTTGCACCACCCGTTACTTACAGAAAAAGTCAAATTAAAACTTGTTACTATTTTGAGGGATATTGGTTTAGTAGAAGGCGATATCTAATGTTTGAAAATTCTTGTACTCCGTCTGATGCGTTAGAACATATGCGAATCGCTCGTATAAATGCAGGGTACGGTATATTTCGTTTGGTGTGCCTAGGATGGGAACTACTAAATGGTAATAAATAGGGTTGTGCTGCCGGTTTTCTATATACGATCGTCCTGCAGCGGGGTACTTGTGCAAAGATGATCACATCAAGATAATTAGTTGTTTTGCCTATCTTGTGTGTTAGTTTAATATTTTTGTCTTTCTCATTAAAGTTTCTGAGTCTCTCTTGCAGTTTCTGATAGGGTAAAGTGGATGTGAGAAAGATGTCATCTCGGAGACGAAGGTACAATTGTCATTCGCTTTTCTGCAATACAAGAAGTTCTTTCTCCCATTCATACATGTATACATCTGCTAACACTTGTGTTACCGCACTACCCGTTATGCTGGTTTATAAATAACATCTCTCNTACCGCACTACCCATGGCTCCTCCTTTCGTCTGTATAGAACTCTATATAGAATTACTAACACCTTTTATCCGCATTTTTAAGGTTTCGAGTCGTCTAAGTTCATCATCAGAAAAATGTACAAAAAACGGTAAAGAGAGATGTTATTTATAAACCAGCATAACGGGTAGCCCAGAAAGAATGACACACTTTTGCAACTTATTTCCGTGTACTTAAACTGCGGTTTTAAGACTCAATTCTAGACTCATTCGATAGAGAATTTTCTGCTCTATAAAATCCATTACCTTCTTTCATTATATATTATTATATTATCCAAAAAGATTGTGTAGATTAAGGACACGTAAAAAGTATAACTGCGATTTACAATTAAAGTTTTGATGACTTTTTGGCTTTTGTATAATTTTCGAGAAATAATATGGTATCTGAGAAAAGAGTGTCCTATAAAAATGTTCAGCGGATTGAGGACTATCATTCAGACTACGCTGCTTTTCTGTTTGATCACTCAAATTGTAAATATTTTAGTGCACAAGTTAATTAGTACTTTCTGACAACATGAGATTTTGAAAAAAGCAGGGAAAGAACTAATCAAAGGACGCTGTGTAAGTGTGCAATATAGAGGTAGAGCAGAAAATCTTTTATTTTCTGAAGTCAGAACGAATTCTTGGAACTATATGCTATATAGACAAAAGTAGGTACGTCAATAACCTCATAATCTTGGGACCATCTGTTGTTAACTGTTGAATGTTAGAAAAAATTTTATTTTTCAATGGTAATTAATTAAATCAAGACGATTTCTTTACTCATAGTACCTGTGACAATTAGCTAACAGAAACAGTATTCAATAATCAATTACGTCCAATACAAAAAAAGATACAAGCTGTTCCATTCGTCGCAGTAATAGTTTTTACGTGTCCCTTAATCTACACAATCTTTTTAGATAATAAAATAATATGTAATGAAAGAAAGTAATAGATTTTATAGAGCAGAAAATTCTCTATCGAATAAGCGTAGAATGGAATCTTAAAACCGCAGTTTAAGTACAAGGAAATAAGTCGCAAAAGTGTGTCATTCTTACTGGGCCACCCGTTATGAAATAGTCCGTCTGACGGTAGTTAAAACAAAAGTATCACAAGATGATACCCACAGAGAAGGGAAAGAAATAACAGAATAAAAGTAAATTTTAAAAGTGGCTAGAGAATGAGAGATATGATTATTTCATTTTTATTTTAATTCTTTGACTGACACATCCTTCTCGACTCATTTTTAGAATTTACTTTTATTCTGTTATTTCTTTTCCTTCTCTGTTAGTATTATCGTTTGTTACTAACTACAGGCCTTGAGACCTTTGGATTAATTGAACTAAATAAACTGAATTTTATTAGCGATCGTGGTTCAAATTTTGTTGCTGCATTGAAACAATTCACTCCAGTGTATTGTTTTGCTCATCGGCTGAATAATATCCTCAAACTTTCTTCATATCAACAACAATCGGATCAACAATATCGGGGAGATGAGAATGAGTGAGAAGAACTGAAGATCGTAACGTCTGAATATCTGCATATCTAGTTATTATGTAAATTGCAGATGTTCACAAATCAGACCGGTCTCTTTAGAATGGTTTAAATAAAAATATCTAAGATTTCGGGGGTGTTTGTTTGAAACAGTGTACTACCGTTCGGTAGCAGAATAAAAAAAAACAGAACAAGTTTCACATTGATAAAAAAAAACGCTCAAGAAGTAATTCAATTACTAAAGCCATTTAAACGTGTAATTACCTGGATATAAAAAGGATATGAACGCTTTCTATACATGGTAATATGTGTCTTGAAATTGAGAAAAATATTGAGAACATCGGAGTCATTATTCAAATATAATCGACAAGAATTAGATGATAAAGAGCAAGCAAATCAAGAAAATAATAGAGATAATAGATATAACACAGATGATCTTGTCGAACCTGAAAGTGAAGGTAATTTAGTTATATAATTCTACCATCGGCGTTCTGAATTGAAGGAGAAAATAACCAGATGCTCGATCAGTCTTTGTGGCCTTTTGGACTCAGCAGAAAGGCTGAAACCAAACGAGATTTCGCTGAAATTTTATCGCTGCTATCCATTTCAAAATAGAATGCCATCGATTGTCAACCGTTCGCGAGATATTTAAAAAAACACCGACTGCATTCTATTTTGAAACAGAATATTAGCACATAAAGGAGCATCATGGACATGCATCGTTGTTGTTATTTACGTTTGTCATTTTTCCAGACTCGTACGGTTCAACTATTAAATTTAATGTTTACTCTCGATATTCGTCGCTACACCACTACGCTACTGCATCCTCGATACAGAAAGTTAAAAACGTGTTCAGATTTAAAAATAAGAAATTGTTATAAATACGTTGTCACAAATGGCTCTCATTCAAGTCGATGTTGGTATTCCAAAATCAGCGATTGCGGGTAGTGAACAGAAAAAAAGAAAACGTTTTGGCCAAGAATTTGAGGATGACGAAAGTAGCTCCAACGATGAGTCGAGGAGAAGAAGGACCAAAAAGATGAAAGCGTATTAGATGATGACGACAAATTATCTGAAACAGAAAATAATAGTTATCGACGATTAGACGAATTCGACCAGTATTTAGCTTTAAAAATTGATAAAAACCGTCTGTCAACAAATCCACTTGAACTTTGGTGTGAAAATCAAAGAACGTATCCAATTCTATCAAAAGTAGCTCGGAAAGTACATTCCATACCCGCTACAATGGCCGCGGTAGAAAGGCAATTTAGCTCAGCTGGGCTTGTCGTAACGGAACGGCGATCAAGTAGAAATCCAGAACAAATTGATAATATTTTACTGGTTCGTATAGTTGAAGAATGAACAGTTTATTGGAAAGAAAATAATCCTTTGTTGTTTTGTTTTCTTATTCCGTATTGTTTTGTCGCTATAGAGTATTACTAATGTATTTGCTCTCGAACCGATTTTAACACTTTTTGTGTGTACTATAGTAAAATGTTTCGTGGCAATGGTCGTGCTATTAATGGACCGTTCCTATAGCATACAGAAGTTTGCAAAGTCCATTGGGCTGTTTATTCAATTTACTGGACTTCTTTTCTAGAGTCCATGGACTGGATTGGACACAAATATTTGAACCCATACGGAGTTCTGCTTACCCGATCTTCACCTTCAGCTGCTAAGTAGCTGCATATCCGATTCTTATAGGATCACATTCAGCACCAGGACAGTAGTGATCAGAATAGAATCTTCTTCTTTATACTGCTCGATTGCTTGCCCTGTCTGTATTTGTTACTGGCATATTGAGAAAAGAAGTCCGTCTCGTTGACGAATTTGTGATTTTAATGTTTCCACCAGATATCAATGATGAGACATGATGCTCGTCTCCGTCAACCCTCAGCTTTTTAATGCATCCTAAGTATCTTTGTTACAAAAATGACTTTTTTCTTGTAACTCAGTTTCTACTTCTTTGCTTTTCCAATCACCGATTTTCAACCTTACTATCTTGGCGGTCTCATTAGATGGTTTCTTGTCTGTTGCGTTTGATCTATTTGGATCAATGCAGATGCTTTTTTCTCTGCATCTCATTTCCTCGCACGTTCGACTTTGTGGGGTGAAGAAGATGGCAAGTGGATTATCCTCTAGAAAACAAAGCTTTTTACTCGACTTACAGAAACTTCTTTCGCTGCAAAGAAAAAGCTTTGTTTTTTAGAGGATAATCAACGATATTCACAGACATATTTCTCAAAGGCTAAAAGGGACCTTTTCTAGAAAATAGATCAGTATCGTGTACAACTCGTGTGCTTGAAACTAGTGTAAAAACAGGAAATGGATCTTCTCTAATTAGTGTAATTGTAGTTCGCGGAGTTGATGCAATACGAAATAGTTTTACAGTGAGTACCCCTTCCTTGAACATATAAAAGACGAACATTTGATGAAAATATAACATTTGTTCTTTTCTGATTTTATTCTTTAAGCAGAAAAACGTCTGCTCTTATAATAATGTCTATTAAAAAACCAATATATTGGAAATATATAGATATATGCCAATGTATGTATGTATCCACGATACAATCAAAGGAACCCAAATACAACAAAATAAAGATAAATTAGAATTTCAGTGTACCAGAACGACCTGCGGCCGTCCTACATTTTGAAATGTTCCCCAACTGTCCGGGCATGATCGCATAAGATCGTAATATCAATGAAAATAAAAGAAATGAAGCTAAAGACAGCTGCTTTAGTGATTTTGTTAATATTTGTGTTCTGTTTCTTATGATATATCAGCATCGCGTTCAGTAATAAAGCCAACTCCTACATTTCAACGGTAAGCAGACTACAGAAAAGCTTCTTAATCATCTGTAAAAGAATGAAAATTTTGCAATGGCACTAGTCCAAAGACATCGTCTGAAAACAAAGAAACTGTCATTGAAGTAATAAGCTCTGAAACGAGCTCGTTCATGAATATGAGAGACAAAAGAGGACCTAACACACTCTCTTGCGGGACACCGGACGTAACTAGAGCAGGTTTAAATGTTTTTTCATTAACCACCACTACTTGTTCTCGATTTGACAAGTAAATCATCGTCAGCATCAACGCTTTTACTTTCATTGTTTCTTCAATGTCAACACAATAATGCTTTATTTCATTATACGCTGAACTATCTCCACCAGCCATTTATATCTTAGTCCATCACTTAATGATCTTTCGTAAGTTTTCATACCTTTTGTTTCACTGTAATACTTTAGTAAACAGAATGGTTCATGCTACCATTTTTTGAATCTAGATGTTGTCTAACGACTTCTTTGCAAATTACATGATCCACAATTCGAACTCAAGACTTCGTAGTCTAAATATTTTCCTATATCAGCATGTATGAGTAAAACAATACTTTATTTTAATGTAAGACCTCTTTTTTCCATGTACCATCTAAATATGAAAAAATATATTTTTTACAATAATACTCGAAAGCGGATAGAAGAGACAATTATTAATATCCGGTTCAAATGCTAAAAGCTTCACTGCCATTTCTTCTCTTTCAAAAGCTACTCAAAAACATCCGTGACGACCATATTTTTGAGCAGATAGTAGATACTGTAGTTTCATATCTAATGATACTGCTACATTCAGTACATTCAATGTACTGAATGATAAGAATGGAGTAGATTGAAATAGTGTTTTCATTTCTTAAGAAATGAAAACACTATTTCAATCTACTCTATGAGCCGATAAAATATAGAAAGAAAAGCCAAAGAAGAAATATAAAACCGTTAAAATATCGCCATCAATACACTCTTTAAATAGTC